TGTACATTAAAATACACTTACCATAGAACCAGTGGTCTTTTAAATTAAGATTTTGCTGCAAATAACTTCACTCATTTATATAGTTATGGATATGATGCAAATTGACATAACTAATTTATATCCCCACAATACTTAAAAATTGAAAAACTTCCTAGCATAGTAACTGCTGCACATATTATTAATGGCAAATTCTTGATAATGCTTCTAGGTAATTTTTGGACTCAGAAATAGAGTAAAGCTGCCAAAAGGTGAAATTTTCAGAAGATTCTGTTCAGTTGTATTGTGCTTAATGAATGCAGGTGACTCTTATGGCAAATCAGGATATCACTCTCATACATTCTAGTTACCTGTAGGAAAAAGTATCCAAGAAGACTAAATATGTTTGTAGTAATTTTTTGCTTTAGAGTCATAATATATTGTCATAATCTATTGTCTTTCTTTGCTTGATTACAAAATTTGTAGTTTTCTTTTAGAGTAATGGTCAGTTGAGATTCATTTGCAGCTTCTGCAGCAGTACAGTACCTGTTTATTAAATATGAGTAGCAATATTGTTTTTAAACTGGAAGTGGAATTCTATTCCAAAGCACTTATTTCTCTTATGGCAGTTGGGGCAACAGGATGTGAATTTTCTTTATCCCCCTTTATCCTTCTGACTAAGATGGAGCACAGGCTACTACAGAAAGAATAATTTCTTCAGAACTCTTATATAGAAGCAGTTCTAATTATAATTAAGAAGCAATCAGAATGTAGGCAAGAAGAAAGGATAAATGGAATAAAAAAGAAGAGTACTGATTGATGAAAAATATTCCCAGTTACAGTGGTCAATGAAAAAGTAGGAAAATTTTGAGAGATGAAGAAAACAAAGTGGAGGAATAAAAAAAACAGGTGGTTGGGAATGTTCATTCTAGTTCATTTTTGTCCTTGCTTCTAGGATCTTGCTGATGTTGTATTTTTTCATCTATTAAAATCCACTTAGCTACATTAGTAGCTTAATCACCTAACCAGTGACAAGCCGTCTTTTCACAGTTTCTTTTCCAGGGCTTTCTTAAGAGCTTGAGAAATTTTAATTCTCCATCAGCACTGCCTGCGTCAGCAGGAGATCTGGATTTCACTTTCTTAAGGCTAATGCTTCCACAATCCAAACCTCAGCCACACTTCTGCAAGCAGGAGTATAAGTTGCAGATGTTTGTGCATGTGCCGTTTAGCACAAACTGGAAAATTAGGATTAAGTCATGAAAGAAGTGATACCATATTGCATAGTGAGGTGTGACAATATTACTTTATTTACAATATATCCCTGGATCCCAAATGTGTCTTAAGCTTAGATGCCACTTTAACTGCAAATACAACCACATGATTTATATTCTTAAATGCAGCAGTATAACTGATTACTTCTCAGCCAAGGAACAAGCAATAACCAAGTAATGACATTTTTCTTGCAGGTGGGATCACTATATCACATCAGAATATTTGATATGAAGAGGAATAATGTTGCAGAAAAGGGAGGGGGGAAGAGTAAGGACTTGCAGCGTTTTCCCTTCCAGTTTTTATAAAAATAGTAGAATCCACAGTGTGTAGGAAATCTTGCAGATACTCAGGTGCTGGCCAGATGCGTCACACCGAAACTATGCCCATCCCATTGCCGGCAATGGGGAAAAGTCATGATACGTTGTGTAATGTCACATGTCGTGAGTTTGACATGCCTGCCATATAGGGATTTAAAGGCAATAATCAGATTTGAATTGCATCCAGAAGTCAATCTGTAATAAGTGCAACTTTGTAGTAATGTTATTAATTTGGCAAACATGTCCATCACTAATTGACCTGATGTATTTTAGATCAGTGGTTGCTTTTAGGTTTTCAAGTACAGCCTCATGTACAACATGTTGCAACAGTCTAAATGAGAGAAGATAGAGAGCAGAAGATTCTAATCTTTGAACCTCTGGTCCTCAAATGGCTTATAGTTATAACCACTGATCATTTTAATTGGGATACCCATACTCTCCTCTTTTATGCCTCCCTATTATAAGAACATTCCACATTCTCCATCCTTACACATAAACCTATTTGAAATAAAAAAATTAACATTCCACAGAATATGAACGGTCATAAACTCAGCTTCCCTAATGAACACATAGGAATGAATTAAAAAAATATTGATCCTGGTTTTTTGCAGGCCACTGCCTGCTCATTCAGGCTCTCATCAGCATGGGCCTAAACTCAACATCCTCCCCAACTTTAAGGTTACGTCCTAGCTCTTAACCTTTAGGGGGGGGGATAAGAGTAAGGCAACAGTTTACATATTAATTTACATTGTTTATAACCTACTCCAATCCCATGGGATTCTAGACAGAGATCAGCAATAAAAATGTATAATTGAGGAACCCAAAAACTAAACAGAGATTAATGTTCCTACTTAGAAGTAATAGGGCTAAAACGTGCTGAAAAAAATACAGCCTTGAATTGCTTATAGAATATTAGCAACATACAAGATACACATACTTTTTCAGGAAGACAGTTCAATAAAGTACTGGTTTATTGTAAAGTAGAGAAGGAATGTTATTTCCCTATACTCAGCCTCAGATATTAAATTTTTTCTCCTGATGATCACACTAGATGCCTGCCTATTATTGCCTATACTGCTGCACTGAAACTTCTGAGTTGGACTTCAAAGGCCATGTAGAGCTTGATAAGATGACTAGGGCAGTGGTGGCGAACCTATGGCACAGGTGCCAGAGGCGGTACTTAGAGCCCTCTCTGTGGGCACGCGTGCCATCGCCCCAGTCCTAGGCCTTCAGCTGGGTTTTATAAAACCTTTTCGTGTTAGGCCTCCGCTGCCGTGTGCCAAAAAAAAAAAAAAGGTTCAATCAGTCAATTTCAACTTCTCGCGGGACAAAAAAAGATCTTGCAAAGTTGAAATTGACTGAACTTTTCAGTCCCACCCAGTCTGCCGTTACCACCGCAGCCACGCCCACCCAATCGGAAACACCCACCCAATGGGCCACACCCACCCGGCACTCGATGATGCATAAGTGGGTTTTGGGTTGCAGTTTGGGCACTCGGTCTCTAAAAGGTTCGCCATCACTGCACTAGGGTATGAGTGACTGAAGGGCTTCCCAATTCAGGAAGGAGTGCAATTGGTGCACAAGGGAGCTGTTGCAAAGGCCTTCTTGATCATATCTATCATAATCTAAAAAGGAAACAAAACCACAATAATCAGTTTTGTAGCTTTTATGCAACATCATTTTTCAACTCAAGTGGAAAAGCTTTATTAATCAGATCTATTTTCTAAAATATATGCTGCATCCAGTTTTACCGATGCAAGGCAAACAGTAGTTGTGAACAATGCAAACACAAATGTTTTCACTGGAAGTCAACTCAAGATCCAAAATAGTTGCATAACCCTTTTAGATATATTGCTTCTTTAATGGTTCAAGAAAGGTTTGATTCACATTAACATAATATCTGAAGCTTCTGTTTAAAACAAGCTCTTTGTTGCTCAGAGAATATTCCCCAATCTGGTAATAAAATTCCAGTCTTATTTCAGAATTATGTCAACTTGAAAGTACTGTCAGAAGTAAGTCTTCTCCTGGTTCATCCAAGCCGGGAATAAATAAGCAACATGGCGACTGCTTTGGGAAGATGGTTACAGTTTATTGAAGAAGCAGAAAGATGGTTCTTCAGGAAAGAGCAGAGGAGAGAAAAAGCTGAGCACATGGGCAGTAGCTTTTTAAACCCTCTCTAGCTTTTTGTTTGGAATAGTTTCCTCTTCCTGTGGCATGAACTTTGAACTGAGTCTGAGTGCTTTTCTAGGCCTTAGTATCTGTGGTTCAGTCCTATTATGTCCCAAAAGTCATCTCCTGTTTCCCTGGGGATGGGGCTAATGACTCTTAAGAGTTTCTTTGTCTTCTTGAGCTTCCTGGCTCCAACCTTCTTGATGGTCTTACATTTGCATTTGTATACGACTGGCTCCTGCTTGGGGCAAAGAGATGATGCCAGGTTTGGTTTTTGGTTTTAAAAATCCTTTTGAGGAAAAATATTTTTCTGCCTTTTTAATATTTCCTTCTCTGGGGCTCTGACTTCCCTCAGTACAATACACCAGCTTTTAAAGTAGTGGCTCGACGAGATACCGTAGCAGCAAATTTCCCTTTGAAATTTGTGCAGACAAATTCAGATGCACAGAGGTTGCCATGCAAACACACCTGCTGGAATTATTAAACAATTAACATTAACAATTAATTAACTATTAAAAGTGCAGCATTGCTGTCATTACTTGCATCTAGTCTAGCATTAGACATCTCTGAAAATCAAGTCCTTTAGAAGCAAATTATATTGTTTTTCATCGTAGCATCTGCGATTTAGCCCACCTGGTTTCAGTTCGGATGTCCCAAAGGTGCTTTTCCAAAAGGTAACTGGATTTACTTGGTTTTGCAGGATCCAAGGGTTTTTTTTGTTTTTCCTTGAACACGTTTCGCTTCTCATCTAAGAAGCTTCTTGGATGAGAAGCTAAATGTGTTCAAGGAAAAAAACCAAGAAAGTCCTGTTGCCTTTTGGAAAAGCATCTTTGGGACTACTATGATTTGGATGACTGAGAATCTGGAAAGACGTTTATTTCCGATGCTTCAAATAGTATCACATGACTCTAATTTTCTTCCAATCTCTAGCCGCCAAAAATTATCCAGACATCCACGTATAAAACACTGATGCGCGTGCGCTGTTTCCTTACAGGTCCCCAAGAGTTGCGCGCCTGCGCTCCCCTCTACGTTCACTCCGTTCGCTTTATATACGTTGTAAAGGTTGCTAACCACCTCCACCTCTTTTTTCCCCCCCTCTTAGAACGCGCAGGCTCGCCCGTTCGCTCTCCCCTCGCCCCCTCAATCTCCGCAGTCCACGTTCCAGAAGAGTGTCGGAGGCGCGCGCGCAACCTGATGGCGTGCGTGCGGACGCATGCGCTGTCCGATGCGTGAGCAAAGCGGGGAGTCGGGTTCAAAGGAGGAAATATGGCGGAAAACAAAGGAGGAGGAGGCGGAGGCGGCGGCGGCGGCGGTGGCGGGGAGGGGGCTGGAGAGGCCGGGCCGACGGGGGGTGGTCCCGAGCCTGCAGCTGCGGCGTCGGCTGTTGTTGTCACCTCTGCGGCGGCAATTGCATCTCAGTCTCCTCCGGCCCCTACCCAGCCCGAGGAAAGGGAAAGCCCAGCCGCGGCGATCCTGGCTGCGGCAGCGGACAAGGGCCCAGGGGAGGCGGAGGCCGCGGCGCCGGTTGTGTTAAGCGTAGCCTCGAACTCCATCTCTATCCCGGCACCTCTGGGTCCCAGCCCTGCTCCCTCCGCTCTGTCCAGCGCCGCGCCGGGCCCGCTCTCGCTCCTAGACACCTGCGCAGTGTGCGCGCAAAGCCTGCAAAGCCGGGAGGCCGAACCGAAGCTGCTGCCTTGCCTTCATTCCTTTTGCCGCCGCTGCCTGCCGGAGCCCGAACGCCAACTCAGCGTGCCGGTACCCGGCGGTGCCAACGGGGATATTCAGCAGGGTGAGTGCGAAGGTTGTGTGTGCTTGGTGCCGGTGACAGACGTCTGACTGGGGAGGCAGCCCTGCTAAGGTGTGTGCCTAAGGGAAGGGGCTCTGAACAAGATGAACGAATGGAGGAACAGAGTGGGTTGTTAGAGTGCTTGTGATTAACTGGCACCATTTTGACCAGATCAATAACCCTGTATGATGCAGCGATACAGAATGGGTTAGAAAAGGAATTCCAGGACTGAATTGCTTGTGTCAATGGCTAGGTACGTACATAAAGGTTGAATAATGGTGATAGGATGGAACTGTTCTGGAACAGATCTTTTGTGTAGAATTTGGTACGTTTGTTGCTAGTATCCAGCATCAAGCCTGACCTTGGAGAATCTCGGTGTGTCTAAATGGTCAATTGCAGAGAGGCCATATTAGATTACATTGCTTTGAGGTAGATATTTAAACCATATGGATTTTTCTACAGGTGACTGTCAGTAATACTTAATAGATGTTACTAATTGGTGAATATAAAACAAAGACCCAAACTTTAGGGTGGGCGGTCCAACTCTGATAAGTCTTATTTTCTTCTCTTCAGTCACCTTCAAACACAGTGCAGTATGTCATCTCTTGCCATCAGTAGTCAGTAGACACTAGGCTTTGAAGAACTTGTTTTTATTAGTTCATTTGCATTTAATTATATTAATATTGTGGAGTTTGTTAATTTGCACCTGTTACACTTAGAATTAAATAATTCTGAACTCAGAAATGTATGTTTATTTGAGCACTTCTACACAAATTCTTCTAATACTTTGTATGAGTAATATATTGTTGAGAGGGTGAGAATTTTTTTGCATGATAAGAAACCTTTAGGTATCAATACAATTCTTGTTTAAGAATTCCATCATGTCTAATCCTAACTGACAAATTATAACTCTTTCCAACATTCCATTCTAACAGACTCCTCCCTCCCTCTTATTCTATAGTTCAGATCTGTGCAGTTCCTTTCTTAGGATTGCTTGGCTTTTCTTTGCAGTTGCTGTGTGATCCTGGGAAAAAATGTAGTTTCTCTAAAGCAGGGGTGTCAAACTCAATTTCATTGAGGGCCGCTGTTGCCCTCGGGGAGCCGGGTGGGTGCGGCCTACTGGGTGGACATGGATGGGGTGGGTGTGGCCTACTGGGTGGGCATGGCCAGCTTTACATCATTCGCGTCAAGGGTGCCTGCGGGGGCCTGGGCAGGAGTGGGACAATTCTGAGGGTCTCTGGCAGAAAGGAGTGGGACCAGGGCAGAGCCCATCAACCCGGATATGTGAAGTAGGCGAGGGCCATTTCCTGGCCACTTCCAGGCGATGGTGCATTTCTTCATTCCTCATAAAGGGTGACACCTCCCCAGCATGCACCCAGGGGGTGGGGCCGACACGGCAGGGGCTGGTTCCTCACTGTTTCCAGATGGCCTTGTGGAGCTAAGACTGAATGCATTTCAGCATAGATGGCCACCACAAAATTGTACATTGGCTCCCGGCCAGCCTGGGTCAGGGCCAAGGCAGCGGGGGCCGTTCCCTCACTGTTTCCAGGATGGCTTTGCGGGCCACATGAAACCACTTCGCGGGCTGCATCTGGCCCCTGGGCCTTGTGTTTGACATGTCTGCTCTAAAGGGTTGCATAGAGATTCTATATTCACTCTTCATACCGTGTTTCCCTGAAAATAAGACCTACCCCCAAAATAAGATCTAGCTGAGGCTGGGCGGGGGGAGGCACTGCGTGTGTCAGTCTGAAGCTCCATTCTTAGCTACAGAAGCATTTACTGAAGGCCCTTGACAGCGAAATGAAGGCAAGGGGGCGACGTGTGCGAGTAGCGGCGAGCGGCCGCAGAAGAAGTGGGCAGGCTGGGTGGGGCTGTTGGTGCCGCAGTGGCAAGGTGAGGCTGTGGAAAAGACACCTCCTGAAAATAAGGCCTGGTGCCTCTTGGAGGCAAAAAAAAAAAAAGGCCAGGTCTTATTTTTTGGGAAACATGGTAGGACCTTTTCGAGATCAAATTCAAATATTCCCTCCGTTCATCCTCAGATCTTTGCATTTTATTGGCTAACAGTATTTAGGAAAAATAAAATAAATTTTAAGGATTGTCCAGCACTTTTTGTCTGCCTTTTAGTAGCTACTATCCACATTACATATGCTGGAAGCCTTTAGGAAATCAGTGTTGATACTTACTTTGGCCTGAAAATAATATTGGATAGTGTTTTGTTCTAGACAGTATTATTACATTATTATTGAGGGTAAATGAAATGCATGTCAAGTGCTTCTAGGACTTTCTCTAATGTTGCTTTTCTTTTTGGGAATTTCACTCTAGGATACCTTTTCCTCAATCCAGATTCTCTGAAGTGTGTTTTACATGAGCATTTTTTTGCAACTTTGGAAGATATAAATTAAATAGATTTTCGGATAACTGTGCCTAGCATAGTATCAGACATCACATTATATACTGTGGCTCACTTTTCCTCCAGAATTTTTTCAAACCTTCTTTATGAAAGCAGTATCATTTGGGAAAATGTTTTAAACCATCATGTAAGTCAAAAGGAGTGATCATACTCCGTGAGCTTTTTGCGACTGGATTTACTGTTACTTTCTTTCAACTAAGTCATTGATTGAGATGGGCAGCCACAACAATTGAACAAATAAACATCATTTGTGATGAGATGTGTGTATACGTGAATGTATACACATACAACTTTAATAATTATATATGCAGTTTCCATGAATTGCTATACATTTAAAAAAAAAATTTACTGAGAAAATCTCATTGCACTAGTATCCATGAACTGCCTATGATGCTCAGTTAATCCAGACTTTTAATGCCATACTTACGGTTTTTCTAATTTCATCTTTGCAATTCCCCCCCCCCCCCAGAAAATAAAAGGAATTTACAAAAATTAATTTTGAGCTTTCTGAGATTATTCAAAATCTCTGGTGTTATTCTCTGTCAGAATGATACCGGTACAAGTTCTTAACAAAATAATTATCAACTAATTATATGATATATATGATATATAATATTATCTTACAAATACTCATATAAATTACTTCAGTAATCTGTATTGTCTCTACATTGTAGCTGGGAGATAGAGTGATTTAAGGCCGTTAATTGTCCTAATGACAGGTAGTATGTAAGCTGGACTTTTCGGGATAGAAATGGCAGTCTTAGTGGCAACTCAGAGCCCTCCAATGTTCCAAGATGGAAGGGGTAGTAATCACTATCCTTATATTTTGCCTTATTTGTTTTTTTTCCCTTTTCGTTGTCTGATTGTTGCTCTCCACCAGAATCATCTTTGGTGAATGAGTGGCTATATAAATCTGATAAATAAAAACACCTTTAAAGGAAAGCAGCTTATTAGCATCTGCCAAATTAATGTTCTGAATCCTGTTTTCAATCATGCTTCACTTTTAAGGGCTTCTTGAAATCATGGTTTGTGATTTGAGAAAGGCCAATGATGGAGGCTAATTCTAATGTCCATTTGAGGGGGAGCCAACCAAACTTATGGCCTTGGGACTGTAGCCTCATTTTCTTATCTAGTCCTTTTATCAGTTAATATGTTTTTATATTCTGTCTCCTCAGATGGACTTAATTGGGTGCTTTAATAATGTAGTCTTGAAAATTGTTTTTTTTTTAATGGTGACATTTTTTTAATTTTATTTTTCTATGAGTTCATGTAGTCTTGAAAATTCTAGTTCCTAGAACTAGTTACTGATGACCAGGTTTGCATATTTTGTGAAGAATATATATAGCTAATCCTCTTTACATGAAGCATTTGGGTTTGTTACGCTTACATGCTGGAAACGTTGAGATTTGATAACCTGTTTTGGACATAGTATTAGAACATAGATTAATAATACATAAATATTGTGTATGTAATCCAGTTTCTTTCTTCACTGTTTGAAGTAAGAATATTGTCTTTGCATTTGAACATAATTACAAATTATATTTTTCAGTATGAGAATGTTGTATAATGCTGCAATTAGTCACAGTAGTAAATATAGAGGAAAATTGTTCTTTGAAAATTGTTATAGTATACAATGCAGAAAAGTGAGTTTTAATCTATTTTTATCTTCCTGACAAAATATTTGTATTATCTGTAGATATCAAACAAATAGATTGAATGTTTATTATGATTTCTGCCTCAGTGGAGCCTCTTTCAGAAAAAAAATGATAACATTTGGACATATAAAAATCTTATTTGCTCATAATTTATAAACAGACTAATTTATGAGGAATTAGAGAGCCTGCATGATCAAAGGCCATAATGGCCTGAAATTAGTCCAGTACATCAGGAAAATGTGCAGTTGAGAAAGACTTTTAGGCTATATAGGTTTTAGTAGTTTTTCCCAGATCTGTTTGTGTATGATTAATGTTCAATGATTAGGCTTGTTCGCTGAGCGTGTTTATAAATTGCTCAATAATAGATGATAATTTCTACCTTCAATCTTGAAATCATTACTTCAAGGAAGAGAATGTCTACCAATTTGTCTAGGTTTCTGAAGTTCAAGTCCATTTTCTTCCATTAAAATCCACTGAATGATAATTGGCCAGCCATTATTTCTCAATCCAGCCTATACTATTGTTTTGGGAAGAATGCAGAATGAGGAATTATATATGTTGAGCTCCTGTGGAACTATCAAGACTAAATAAAAATGCCAGGTCTCTTGTATCATCCTTTCCTATTCCAAGGTTATAAAGGATTTTTGTTTGAAGTAAAAACTTTAGAAATGAAACTTAGTATAGTTTAGGTTATTCTATAACTAAAATATAATTTACAATTGCAGATTAAGACAGACTATTTATGAATCAAAGCAAATACATTCCTGTTGTTTAATTTTATAAGTAGTAAAGCTGATTGTATGATCTGTTCAAATGGACCTTATATTTGAGGTATTTTGTAGACGTTACTCATTAAAGTTTTTTTAAATTATAACTCATAATTTTGTAAAGTAAATTGGCTTAAGAATTGTATTCCCATTAGGTACTGAAACTAATTT